CGAGAGGGCAAGAGTACTTGGGCCCACAACGCCAACCCTGAATTTACGAGAATCGTACCCCGCATCACGATGCACGATTTCATTCATGTGGGTGCCATCGATGCACCGATGCATCTAGGAATCTGAATCAGCATGATTGATCTACACAGATATCGTCCGGCTAGCTTGAACCCTTGAATGACGGCGCGAGTCGATATCGATGGTATGTAGGTCCCGTGAGCCCACCAGCGTTCAAACGTTCAACTGTTAAACGTCGAACGTCGAAAAGCAGCCTAGGCTGGGTATAGCAAGTACCGCAGCTCTGCGAGCGCTGTGGGTGCGGGTGTGGGCGCCCAAGCTCCTCGGTTGAATTCCTCCGACTTCGAGTCGAGGTCGTCCGCGTGATTATCACCGCTCGCTGGGGCTCGGAGGAGACCAGCTTCCACCTTGCTTCCATACTACATATGCACTGGCATGCCGCAAATTAATATGATGAACACCGCATCCTGCAAAGGCGTGCAAAGAATTCATAAAACGCAAAACAACTAACCCCGCACCTGTAGCCTGTAGGTGTATCGGTGCACATCCAGCGTGCGCAGCAGCCCACTTACTTTCAATTAAACCACCTGGTTAGCCTATGGCGTCCATATCTACTAAGAGCAACGCACACCGTAATCACCAAATCGATATCATGAGCACGAGTCCATCCATCCGAAGGAACAAATCACCCACCCCACAAGAAAATCAGAATCAGCAGGCCAAAGGCCTTCATTCAATCCCAATCCCCGGTGTCCGAAAACAGGTGCAAGCGCTCTATGTGGACGGGGTATCACAGGCCCTCTGCTAACCCACTCTTCTCGCTCACGCGCCACCCCCTACCCCGCGCCATTCCGAGCCCGTTTCGAGGCGTTTCATCACAGGCCACGGCCCCATAGCCAAGTCATCTAACTAGCTCCAAGGCACCTACCGTGCCCTGCAGTGTTCCGCTCTGCGATCGGAGGTTTGGAAATATACCAGCCAGCCACCCACTGGCAACACGTTATCCACCTCACATCCGAGCCCGGGAGGTCTAAAAATAGAAATGCGGGGTAGGACGGGTGCTAGGGGCTATTTGTTGCCCAACAGGTGGCCCAAGTATAATTTAAGGTGTTCGTGATACGAGTATGCCGGCGAAGCTGGAGTCTTGTCGACGGGGAGAGAGTAGTCGTTTATTTAAATCTTACGGTTCTCCCTGTTACTACGCTACCTCGAAATGGGCAAAATCAACGGAACCCAACGAAAGGAGGAACGAGAGTGAACGTCGCATATGACATTCCTTCTTCAATTCCATGAATTCCTGATTGTTGATTCCGAGATGGACATCTCCCCTCCTTCCTTCCTTCCTTCCGTTGCCTCGAGCTCTTTTCATTCGGCAACAGTTCTTATTTTAGCTCACTGGGTTCGTCGACTCGAGGCCACCGCGCCGAGAGTGGCAACGCCATGCCCTGCACGCACAACGCACGCACGTTCTCCCTCGTACCTCGCACCTCTTCCAACGGCTGCACACCTCCCAATTTTAATAAAGTGATAATACGGCGATAAAGCACATTAAATTGCCCTGGCACTCGCAGAGGCACTGGCAACGGACTACCAACCCACCCGCAAGTCCAACCAACGGAACCAAAAGAAAATCAGACACGGCCATTACTTACCTCGTAACGGAACACGATCGAGCGTTAAAGCGATAAAGCACATTAAACCGCTCTTTCTCTTGGACTTGCACTGGCAACGGGCAACGGCCACCACCCCACCCTCAAGTCCAACCAACGGAACGCAGAAAAACAAACACACCCCTCCAGGTGTCTCGTAACAGAGCCGGACGTTCCGGACACGAGGCATCCAAGCAAAGGTCGAGTGACCTCCTCTGCCGGTGCATTGACTCTTCGACTCTGACTCGCCCTGATTCACTCCAGTCCCACCCGGAACACCAGCACCGCTGTACATCGCCGATCTCACTCGGACTCGGAGGGCCCACCGTGCCTTGGAGCGACGCCACCTCGGGTCTCGAGACTTAGCGCATTTTAAATAATTAAATGCACAGCTCTGCGGGGACGCTGGGGAACCCGTGAACGCTGCAAACGTCAACGTGCACAGTGAACCGAAAGCGAAAGCCAAAGTGACAAAACGCCGAAGTGGTGTGCGAGTAAGTACGTCGTACGACGAGGAGCCCCACATGTACCCGCGAACGAGGCGAACTTGGACTCGGAAAGGCGAAATTAGAGTAGACGTGGGTAGTGGACGTCCCGATGCCCGATGGACATGGAGGTGGATCGATTAGGAGAGGACGGGATAGGGAGGGGAGGTCCAATCACCATCGTGGACGGACGGCGTGTTGCTATTACTGTGGGATGAACGTGAACGCGAATAGACTGCGAACGCGAATAGATTGTGAACCCAAATGTGAATATCCAAAAGCGAGCAGAGGCAAAACGGTGAATGAATGCGAATGGTTTAGGTAAATGGATGTGATGATCACGGGGACGGCGGCGAGCGACAGCACCGTCCCGTCGAGCGTCTCGCGATCGTCGGACGGGAGGCGAACAGGTATCAGAGTGCACTTGGAACCTTAGGCCTGGGACGACGCGTTTGGGCGTCCAGGTAAGGATCAAATTCAAACACGAAGGATCAACTTGAAGCCTACCAGCGAGCCATACCTTCCTCACAAGTAAGAGAATGGACATGGATCAGGATCAGGATCCCGATGAGATGGGAGGATGTGGGGATGCCAGTGATTCAGAAGGATCAGTCAGACATGACAGGCGCTCTTCCACTCAACTTTCAACTTGCAACCTGATGACGGGATGGGAATTTAGATGTCTGACGGGGCAAGAGAATGCCGCCGGGCGCAGTACGTTTCCGTACTACGTAGTATGTACTGGTGCCCGAGTTGACTTCGAAGATGGGAAGATGGGAAGATGGTAACCTGCTGCTGTAACGATCAAAGAACTGAACAGAATTGAGAACACGGGGAAACAGACGTTAGCGTTTGCGTTTCTGAGAAGAAGTTACATACATGTTGCGTGCTGGGCAGCTCAAGATCAGCGAAGTGAAGCATACTTCAAAGGACGGACGGACGGACTTACATATACTAGTCAACTAGTTACGGCTGGCATATGCATGCTGTATGCAGATACAAACTTACATGTCGAAGAGTTGCCTGCTCTCCTCGCCCCCGAGTAGAGCAGCCCAACACCACACCAGGCCGGGCAGAGGGCGTTAGGCGTTGACTGGGTTATGGGCATACGGCCGTTGGAACAGCCCCGCGCACGTTTCTGAGTCCGTGCCGTCCGCTCAAACGGATCGACTGCCATTGAGAATTTGGGCCTTCCTTCCCCTTCCTTCCCTCCGCGCTCCGCGTAGGTAAACTCGGCGATCATGGTGACACACATACTTATTAGAGTATGTTGTACATGTATACACTCGAGCTTTTCGCAGCACTAGGAGGCAGGTGAAATCCTGAATCCTGAACCTTGATGTGTTGATACTGATGATATCAACCTCGAGCCTCCTTCCGTTCTCGGTGGACTGGGGGATGGTGCTGCCGCGGCAAGTGTACCGGGCTGGGCGCTGGGCAGTGTTTCACTCCGTGCTATTGCTACAAGTAGCAGTCAGCAGCTTGTATCGCCAACAAATTAAGAAGTGGGGCAGGCCGTCAGGACTCGACGGGGACGGGAGTTAAGGTTTCCGAGGGGTGATTGGCTGGACGGGTCGGGCGAAGGGAGAAAGGCTTGGCTTGGGGGTAACGTACAGGTGGAGGAGGATTAGAAAGCGCGTTGATAGACGGGACAAGCAGAGACAAGCCGACGAGAAGTCGGAGGCTGGGGAGGAGGGAACGTAAGCCGGTGGTATATTTGGCAAACATACTGATAGGCCGGCACACATACGTATACAGAGAAGAGGCTAGCGTATATTCAGGAAGGGCAGGTAAACGCTTTCGGCCGGGCATGCTTGTCCTTGCGAGGCAGCGAATTTGCCGCTCTGTGTTAGTGCATGCTGCGCCACGGTTGATTGGGAGCGAGGATAAGACAGGTGGATGACAAACGGCGTGTCTGGCATTTGTTGGACGGACGGCACGTTCACGGGCATTTCGTTACCTTGCCTTTGCTGATATTGAATAAATGTTCGACGTTGGGCCGTCGCCGGGCTTGCGTCGCGCAAATACGCAGGGGCTCCGAGACCGAGATCGACAGAGGATCAGCCGTTTGCATTGTAGTTGGCGGGAGAGGGTGTTGACTCGGAGGAGCAGGAGGACAAACGAACGGGGAAAGAGCTGTTATCTCGGGGATAGGACCCCAGGTGTGGGCACGTACGACCTGCGTGGAGAAATGGCCATAGGTAGTCTGCGGTCGAAAAGGAGAAAAGCAAGCCGTATCAACAATCAAAACAAGGCAGTAATAGTAATCCAGGGATTACAGCTACCCCGCAATGCACGCGAGAGGGCGGAGAAACTTCGCATTTTGGCGGTGACGGGGTTGGAGGGCATAGGAAAGGCGGCACGAGGAATGGACAGACGAGTAAAGGACCAGACGGGATAACGCCGGGGTGACAGACGAGGATAAGGCGTCCAGATGCGTGTTTGGGACGTGTGTCGCGTCCGCTGATAAACAGGAGCAGGAGGAGCGACGGACGGATGGCTTGGAAGAGTCTGTTGAGCGTTATGCGTGATGTTCCGGGGTGCCAGGACAGAAGAAAGATGGCCTGCCGCGGCATGGAACCGCAGGGTTGGAGGGCGGGGGCACGTGAATGGACTGGCGGGCCGTGGGGGAGACGGAGAGATGGCGGATAAACACGGACAGGGACGGGGGCAGTAGGGCCGCGGAGCCTCGGTTGGTGCCGGTACCCGGTGCGAGTGGTTGTGGCGCATATTAGGCCCGATCGGATCTCGATTCAGATCTGGGGTGGCTCGTGTGGACCTGGTTGGCTGCTCTTTATAACCATCCAAACAGCTCGTCTCTTCTCCCCTCCAACTTCCCCAGCCAACCATGGACTTTGACGCCGCCTGGTGTCCCGCCTGCGATAGGCAGATTCAGCCAAAGCGCTACACCGTCCTCGTACAACCCACCACCACCGCCCCCCCACCGCCCCCACCCTCGTCCCCCCGCAAGAAGGCCGCCGTCAACAAGAAGGGCGGTCTCGTCAACGGCACAGGTCGCGTCCGCCCCAATGGCACGATCAAGCAGTCCCCGCCCGCAGCCCCCGCGCCTCCGCCGAAGACCCGCACCGTCATCGACCAGGGCCCCCTACCCCTCTACTGCTCCGACGAGTGTCAGCTCGCCGACCTCACCCGCCGCACAGCCGCTCCCTTCGACCCATCTCGTGAGGAGCCCGTGTCAGCCGCCCCAGTAAAGCCGAAGAAGAAGACCGCCTTCACCACAGCACCCAGCGAGAGCGGCAGCGACACGTCCAACGAGTCAAAGCCCCTCTCCTCCATCGAGCGGCTCGCCCAAATGTACAATTTTCCCCCGCTCCCCCCGCCACCACCCACATACGAGGAGCCCGTTTACGACTACCCCCCCGAGGAGTACAACTCGGGCATCATGATGGCTGGCCGCCTCATCTCGTCCCTCTCAGCACCCCCAGCGAAGCCCCATGTCGGCCGCTATCGCCCCGCCCCTGAGCCCTACAAAGTCGTCCCCGGCTGGTCCGACGGCAGCAACGCCTGGCGCTCAACGGTCTACTCTTTCTCAGCTCCCAAGAGTGCGCAAGACCCATTCAACCGCGACTCCACAGCAAAGTCTTACGGCTCCTTCACCGCTGCCTCCCACCGCTCTCGCCCAGTCAGCCAAACCCTCTCCGCTCCCTCCGCCTCTTCAGCACCCTCCCACTCCCAATCCGACGACATGCTTGCCAAGTTCGGCCAGAACTTCGCCCGCCGCTCAGAGTCGCGCACTTCCCTCTATGCTGGCTCCGCTGCCACCCCCTCATCGCCCTCGTCTGCTCACTCTCTTCCAGTCCGCCGCGAGCGTTCGATCGTCCCACCAAGCGCCGAGGGCAAGCTACCTGGTTCCCGACGTAAAGCTCAAGGTGCACAGCGGATCGAGTGCATCGCTCTCCAGCGCCTGGAGCGGTCCCATCAGCTCAAGCTCGAGGAAGAACGTCCGAAGTCCCCTGTCTGCTACCAGCGACAGCGACGATGACTTCGATGCCTTCGATACCTTCGCCACCAGGCGTCCGACCATTGAGAGTGAGTCTCATTTTTTCTGTTTTCGCAGCCCGATATTCATTGCTCGACAGCGCGCTCCTGGTCGTATGACAATGTCAAGACCTACCCCATCATGCAACTCCCGCCGAAGACGATCAAGAAAGTCGAGACGCAGCTAATCGACGGCGAAGAGCGACAAGTCGAGGTCGAAGTCGAGGTGCCGCAAGAGCGAAAGCGCCTTTTCCTGTTTGCACCAACAACGAGGATCTCACAGTGATCCTGCCCTACACCTTCCTCACATTTTCCTTCATCTCTTGGGCATCGCATTCATCTGGCATTTTCACTCTTGCAAGCGGCATCTCTCATCGGCATCAGCATCGCTCATGGATTTCTCTGGACTTCAACAACAAAGCATTCTCATCATCGTCGTTTCTTATCATTTCTTTATTCTGTCCATTGCTCTGCTCATCGTCGAGATCGACTCCTCGTCTGCTCTGCTGTCGTTTGTTATCGCGCACTTTTTCACATTCTTCTCCGTCATCCCGTTGTCTGTACGCATCACAATAGCAACCCCTTTACCCTCATCGGCATCGACATACCCCTTTTATTTTCCTCTGGACTGCCGTTTGGACCCCTCGTAATGGAGATTGCGGGCGAGGATACCGTTGATACCCACAGCGCACCCTTATCGGGTGTCGCCCATCCGTCGTCGACGCACTCTACCCCTCTGGATGGAAGCATACCCCTCTCCTTTCCGGATACCCGACCTCCTGCACTCCTTCCTTCCTTCCTCATCCCCCTTTACCACCCGACGACGTACCCACCCACCCTCCGATTGCATCGAATGCTTATGCGCATAACGGGCACAGGCCCGGCACCGGCTATCTGGCCCTTATTAGTGGGGTTCGTCCGGGTGGTAACGGCGGGACCAAAATGACCCATAGCCGTATCCCCGTGCGCATGGGGATCGGATAAGGGGCGCATGCGCATGGCATATGCGCTTGCATGTGCTCCGTGCACCCCACCACTGCTCTCGGTACGCCGCTCGGTCTCCTACGACTTATCATTATCGTCCTCGCTCGCACCCCCCATCGCTCGCCGGTCATCAAGTGAAACAAAGAACCATCATCATCGTCATCAATATCTGTACCATAGCAAATTTCCTTCCTCCTTCTCCACCTGGGTCTCTTCCTCATAATCGATGGCATTAACTCCGTGTGCATATCTCTTTACTTTTTTCCCTCCGACAACGCCGTGTATGTACTTTTATCGCCTATTTTTTCATGTACCATGACCTTTTTGACTTTATCGCCTTTTATTACCTCTACCTCTACCTCCGCCTCTAAACACCGTCGACCTGTACCTAATCCAGCACCCTCGCCCACGTCCAACGCACGCCTCTATGGGCTGCGCCTGGATTCCTTTTTTACCTACTCTACGAACTTCGATGTACCTACTTTTACTTTACGGTTTTTTTGTGTCTGGTCAAATGAAAAAGCGGAATTGGATTATCATGAACAACGAACACGTCAACTTGGTGGTGTGAAAGCCTTAGCTTGAGCTTGTGAAACTTGAATTGTGCATTCCGAAATGAAATGAAACGAGCGAGGCAAAGGAGGTTAACGTGAAAAACGCGGCGATGGAACGTGATTTGCCTCGCGCGTCGTCTCTCCGCGAGGCTTGCTGTGCCCCTCGCTGTGCCCCTTCCGGCTGACGGCTGTAGCACAAGCCTCGAGCTCGTCATCGATCATCCGGCTTGCAGTGCACGCCTTCGTCCAACCACCACCGCCACGCGTCTGCACCCGCCTTCGTCCAAGATGCAACCTCAAATGCCAAAAACGCTACCCCAGATTGGAGAGCTCTGGAGAGACGTCACGCGTGCGTCTGCGGCGTGCCCCTCCAACTGTCCAATCTCAGAGCAATTCAATCCAATTGCGATTTCGTTCCCGTTATACCAAAGCAAGACTTAGAGAAAGAAGGAGCGCCGCGCCCCCCGCTTCATTCATCTAGGGTAACCCGTTCACCCACCTCCTTCCCCGCCTCACCTGGCACGGTGCGTCAAGCTAAATTCAACCTAAACACCACGTTTCCCTGACATATTACAGTATTAGTGAGTTCTTGTCTTCGAATGGATTATCGGTTATGATTCTTCGAGTTCTCTTCGGTGCGGTCATATTTCATGTTTTTATTTTTAATCTATACATACTTTGCTTATGTACATGTTTACGGACTTTTACTTACTCGTACATGTTTTTACGGGATGCAGTTATTCCGGAGGCTGCAGGAGGGCACCACATCCTGTTCCGAGCCACGAGTCCCCAGTCCGAGTTCCCCAGACTGCGTCAGTGGCAAGTGCTGTGCGTCAGTGGCGAATCCCAACGCGAACGGGATCGGACTCGGAAGTGTCTCCCCGAAATCCTTGTACGGGGGTATCTAGCAGGTGTCAAATGCCAGGCAAACTATACAACCGGGTTATCGCTGACCATCTATGACTCGGTTATTGGGCGCGTGCTCAACTAGGATATTGGGGGTGAAAAGGGGGGAACCCATGACCAGAAACCTCCAGAAACATACTCTTGTCGACGGTCGACTTCCGGAATATCTATTTGTCGATGAATTACGCTTCACGAGCACGAGCGCGAAGACGGACAGCCGCCTGGGTACTGTGGACACTGCAGATAGCCGCCCGCGGCCGGATTATTTTATGGATGGCGGTGGATTATCGCTGGATAATCATCGATTCAGCCATCCAAGTACGCTGATTCTTCTCTATTCTATTACTGTATCAGCAGCGTGGTACTGATCGTGACGTCTGTTTCCCCAGATTTGCGTTTTGCGTGTTTCTCCATGGTTTGCGGAGTCGGAATTGGAGGCGGGCGTCCTTTATGCTCTTTCACCCCGCAACCCCGCATTGGCATACGCTCATTGTGACGCCTTTGTCGCGTACACTTCATCTGCGGCTCTTTGGGCGCTCTCAACACGTCAGAAATGAATGTATTAGACTGCGAGCATCTGACTCGAAAGACAAAGCAACATGCAACACTTGTTCTAGGCCAACTCCTCAATTCAGCGAACTCCTTCGACCTGCCGTGGAGTTGTCGTTTCGATCGTTTTCGCTTCGTTGTCCTTCTCCCAACCTATCACCTTCGGTTTCTGTTCTTGTTTCTGTTTCGACCGCGCCACAGGCTTCTCGGTGCAGTACAGCGCTCGTGTTTCTCAGCAACTCTGAAAGCTAAATGGCATTTTCAAAGTCCTCCTCACCCCAATCCTCGACGGGGACCGACCCCGTTCTGCCTTTCCTCCACGCTCTACTGCGCTCTATGTACGCGCAACTGTATCCCACCGGCCACTAGACTGGGTGCGGACCCAGGCTCCGCGGGGCCTGCGCGGGTCGGGAGCACGGGCGACGGTGTTCAACGCGCATGCATACCTACCCACCGCGAATTCCTTGGGTCGCCGGTGTCGGCAAAATTGCCTTCTTCAAGTTCTTTTCCTGGCGAGAGAACGTCATAGGGTTACAGGCGCTTATAGGCCACATCCAGCCAAGTGCGCTGCGTCGGCCTTTGCGTCTCCTACTCCTATGCGCAACCTATGCGTAGTCGTCCTATAACGCATGTGCGCATCGTGCTGCGTCGTGTCGCCATTCGCAGCCTACGAGAGGTCTCTAGGTTATATAAGCCTCGTCCGACCCAACCCGAGCTCAGCTTTCTTCTGCTTCGATGATGCTGTAACTGTCGCTCTTCGCTGAATGGCTGAGTTGGTCTGTTCGATCGGCCGTGCGTGCTTCGACGGCGGATGGGCTGGTTATCTTAATCCCTAGGTGCCGCACCGCACCCGCTCCGGGCGCGAGGCGACGGCGACTAAAGGAAAAGACTTGTGCGATTCTATTTCTACTTTGGTTACAGCTAAGGCGATAACTCAGAAGAGAAGCAACTGCAGAAATATAGGGCTGATGCAAAGCGGTGGTTGGTTGAGGTCAGAGTGCGAACAGAAGACCAAGACGGCTACACGGTCGTCAGCCTGTGTTCTTCAGATTGCGCCGCTATGATATGGTGAGTCGAAAGATTCCACCCCAGTCCGCTCGTCTGTCTGTCGTTGGCTGATGAACTTGCAGCGCTGCAATAGATGCGCGATGTCACTGGAGCGTATACTTAGCACGGTAACGTTTCGCCCAAGTGTATGCCTCTGCAGATCTGGGCAGTTACCAACCCACACACCCCGCACGGTGATGATTTGATTGGCTGGCTACGATGCGGCCAGTTTCTAGCGAATGACACGGACGTCTGTTGAAGCCGTACGGGTCCTCTGTATATTTTTGACCGTCGTCATTTTCGCGTGAGGTGCGTTTTGACGTCTTGACTTCGCCGTCGAAGAGCTAAAGTGGGGTTTTGTCAAGTTGTAGGAAGGTTACGACTCCCTCGCGTCATATACACTGTCCTAGCGTCATAATCCACCCTCGACTCCGTCTGCGTTTGCTCGATGCATTTGCTTGCTGACGAGCTACCCAAAGAGTATGTGTCGTCTTGTTTTCCTTCTTCTAAGTCATGTCATCCTCTGACAAACGGACAGACGTGCGGGGAACTTCGAGCTTCTGAAAACCTCCTATGGCATAGGTATGCATATGCCCACGTCTTACTCGCGATGCGCGCTTGTCGGTATGTCGGCCGCCGACCTCTTTAACTTAACTCGGTCTGACGAATCAAGTAGATGCTCTCCCCCTTTAGTGCAGCCTCCCCCACGCTACAGTATCTT